CTATTGCATGTTTAATGTGCTGCTGGTACAGCTGGGTGCTGCACTGGAAGGGTTCTCTGGTGAAGGTCCCCCAATGAATGACAAACTCCAGGATTTCACTGTGGGCTTGAAAATATGTGAAGAGGCATCAAGCACTGCTATTGACATAAAATTGCAGTGGAGTAACGTTAAAGATGTTTCAGTGATATAGAAAGGCCAATCTGCGTCTGCATTTCTGTGCTGACAGTTTCTCAGACTGAAAATCATGGATGAGCTTTGTGTATATTTTGTGTCAAAAGGTCCACTTACTGAAAAATATCACAGCACAATATTTTTTTCTTCCAACATACTGGTTTATTGTTATAATCATCATTTCCGGCCTCACTTACTTGTATTGGCTGTCTGTTCATCTATTAATTGGTTTAAAGATGATTCCTTTAGTTATATTTAAACAGCGTATTGTGAATTTGTAGGACAACCTAGGCTTTTGTGGCCTTGTTGTTTTCTAGGCACCACCTCCATCTTTCTTTCACCTCCTCTGAGTAGCCTTTGAACCTGCTGGACAATTCCAGCCCAATTTAGTGGAGCCATTGAGCTTGCAAAGGACTTGAAAGAGTTCTGGTGATTTTCTGCAAGTCAAATGAAAATAAGTAATGGAGTAGAGAGAGATACCTCTTAATGCCTCCAAGCTGGAGAATTAATTTAATCCTTGTTAAGTAGAAGAGAGTCCACTGAGCCTCTTGGTCTCATGACACAGCTGATGAGGTGCCCAAGCTTTGCTGAGTTCCCTGGTTTGGAACATCGTCTGTCAGGTGCCTTCTTGCAAGGATTTCTGTGGCTTTTCAATACCAAAGGCTTCTGTCATTCACATTTGGTTCATGTGATTAATGGAAGGAATGGCAAGTTCTAACTTTCTTAATGTATTTTCATTGATAAGACCACCAACTTAGATTTCCTTTTTCACTGTTGCAATTCATATAGTGTCTTTTAGTAATCATTAACAGGCAAGGTTGGTAATCCTTGACACTGGAAGGCTTATTAAGCATGTTTTGGAGGTTTTTTTACAGCTTGAATCTGTGACTGCAGGTAGAAAATTAATTTTTTATTGAAGTGGTAGTGAAAATAAAACCAGTTCAGAAAACCACTGTTTAATGTGTGCTTATTAATAGCATATGAAGTTCATTTTAATGTTTTAGGAATTATGTGAAGAGATTTAAGAAAAAAAGCATTTTGACTCATAAAACAATATCCCTTTGTCCAAAGTTGTACGGACCAACTAGGAAAGCTGATTAAATGAGGTTTTATGAAGGGATAGTCTTTTAAAGTTTCCGATAACTTCAGCTCTTCAAACAGAAGCAGTAGTCTTTGAATAGAATAAAACATGAGTTTGACCTAAAAATTGTCATCCTTGATGGGTAGTAGGTCATGCTAATATTTATTAATTCAAGGGGTTCTGTTTCTGTAGCATAAGTGTTACATCTAATCAGATCATATCACCCACATGAAGCAAGTCCACCATGTCTCCCAGGATAAGCAGGTCACACTAGGTCAATGCTCAGATGGGAGACTTATGAAGCATTCATACCGCTGGGAGAAAAAAAAGATCAACTAGCCAGCCCGTTTTCTGCACAAGACATAGTGAGTCACTATTCCTTCTCACTATGTGAGATACCGTGCTGGTGAGGAAGTCATCTTTCAGGTGAGATTTAGAATTGGAGTCGTGTCATTTTTAGTCATTACAAGTGCCATGGCACTGTTGCTGCTCTTTGTCAGATGGACTGTGCACATGCTGCCTACAGTAGAGCAGTTTCAGTGCAGTGTGGAATTTGGCACTTGGAAGCTCTTGGGCAGCTGCTGTGCCCCTGCTCTCATGTAGCATTGACACATCCTGAATACAAGGTGTTCAAGTAGTCTAGAGAGGAAAAAGTAGCATCTGAAACCTAATCAAATTGCTGTGTGTTTGGGTGGACAGCTGTGGTTTTGGGGGTTCTTTTTTTCCTAATAACCCTAGTTTCTTCAGTCATCTGAAATTGAAAAGTCTTACCTGGAAAAAAGTTAACAATAATGTGTCCCAAAGTCTTAAGGAGCAGCAGGCTAAATAAACAGAATCCCACCCATTTAATTACTGCATTTTTAATGATGTGTTTGCCAGCCAATCTAAATATTTTTCCTTTTTTCTTCACGATTTTTTAAAATGTTTAAAGTTGGGTAATAGCTGCACTCTGTTTCCTTCATATACTCTCCCTACCTTGTAGATCTTCTTTCTTTTCTCAGCTTCTCTGCTAGGAGACAGCCACAGCCCTTCATACCTGCTGCAACTATATATTGGTTCATGTTGTTGGCCTATAGAGTATTCACAGTGCAACTACATTAAAATAGCAATAGTAGCAGAAATGTGGCCAGACCTGTTTCATCTTACCAGATGAGGCCTTGCAAAACAGTCATAGCTTCAGGAAGAAAGTGCCTAAATTGCTAAGGAGGGTTTCTCAAATAAATCTTTCTGTTGAAAAGAAGCACTTGTTATGAACTCTACCTTTTGTTTTGTATGGCTTAATCCACTCACTTTTGTTCCCTGTGATTTATTTAATCTCACTTCATCAATTGGTTAGTTAGAGGCTTGCTAGCATGTCCTTGCAATCTTAGATTGCTCCATACTTGTCCTGTTAATAAATTGGGTGATTTACGTCTATGTTGCCAAAAAGACATGGAATTGTTTACAAATCTGAGAAAGTAAAAAGTTCTATTTCCTTCTTTGGTCTTCAAGGCATATTTTAAGACATGCTAGGCTTTTAAATCTAAGCAAATACCTTTGGTTGTTGTTTCAGAAGTGTTTGGGATTCAAAATTCTACTGGAAGTAAAATTATTTTTAATCAATAGGATTTAGATACACCAGTGTTGGGACAATTTGTCAGATATGCTGATGTGCACACTTTTTCACCTAACACCTTCACAAATCGTAGTGATGGTTTTCTGGAAAAAGTAGCTATTGGGAATTAATTGCCCCTGATAGGCTTTGAGGAATTTGTCATCTTATTCTTCTTGCTTCAGCAAGGAAATAACACTTTTCACAAATATATTCAGCATGAAAACTTGAAAATAATATATATTGTGTTTGTTCTTAGCTAGTCCAGAGCTTATTTGCCCTGGATAGCTAGTGGTTAAAGTGTGAATGTGGTGACGTTTCTCTAGCACATAACTACAGTTCTGAATTTGAATTCTACTTTCTACAAATACTCACTTACCTCCTTCTGCTTTAGAGTCTACACCTGTACCAAATTCATTGTATGATTGCATGAAAATACTACGGTAGGACATGGGGAACAAGAAGAATGTAGACGTAGTTGTAATGTAATGCATTTAAAAATTCATATGGAATTTCATTCTTATTTTGCAATATTTGCCCAAATGACTGGGAAAAAACATAAAGCCCAAAGGAATATCCCACATGCTTTATGCAGTTCAGAGTATATGAGTCACATACACTTTTATGTCCAGTCTTTATGTACGAAGTAAATACTACAAATGTAAACAATATAAACAGATAGATATATATATATATATATATGTTTGTTAAGTCCATATTCCTTTCCTTTTAATGGAATTTTGTAGATAGAGGTTGTGGATTTTTGGTTGCCTGCACTTAGAAAGTACTTGGTTTACAAGTGACAGTCTCTTGCATTTATATAGACCTTTTTTTCCCTATACCTATAAAGTTCTTACAGATAATGTACGTGAAGGTTGCTGTGACCATTTTACAATTGTAAGAAAGAAAACTATTTGTTTTAGTGCCTCAGTAGAGCTGATGAAGAAAATACATTTATATATGCATTTTATAGGAAAATTTACCTACATTGAAAGAAAGCATATATTCCATTTGGAATACGTTAATGTACTTTATGGTGTATCACTTTACAAGTCAAATAGCTATTCTGTTTCTGGTATCATCTTAAATCTCAGACATATACAGGATGCACACAAACTTTTCAATGTGTCAGTGTGCCTCCGTCAAGTATCACTCAGGTAACCATTAGATTTCATGAAACAAAGAGAAAAGAGGCAGTGTAAAGGAAAATGCTTGTTCCAATTCCCTGAACCTGTAGATGCCTGAAATATGCTGCTAACATGGAAAACGTGAACAGTGCAGGCCTCAAGGGAATGACCATGGGAATGTTTTCCCCTGCGGCCTTAAGTTTTTTTACATGTAAGTGGTCACAGATAGTCCCTGTCATGAGTGCCCTGAGGACAACGAGTTGGCCTCCCCAAGTCTGTCTCTAGTTAATATGTCTTATTCCATCCAGAACATGTACAGTTGCACCATGGTGGCTCAACTTCACTGAAAGAGCAAAGTGCTTTAGACTTCAACAGGGAAATCCTGATGCCATTGAAATAAAGAGGAGTTCTGAGGTTGATTTCTCTGGTGCCAGAATTTCACACTTTGCCATGGTGCTCTGAATGACATTCAGCTGCATTAGGAAATCTGACATGCCAATGTGGAGCTCAAGGATTTTGGACTGAGAGCTGTTGCGAGGTCTACATCTGATTTTAAAGCTGAGTGTAGCCAGATATAAAGAAACAGTTAACTTAGAGTTGAAACAGTAGCCTATATTGTGGGGAAATCAATTAAATCAGTTAACTCTCTGCCTCTGAAATGAGATTTCATTATATTCAAACCTAAGAGGAAACAGCCATACCACCTACTGTGCCAAAGCCTTTTTTAAACTAGTCCTAATGTCAGCTTCCTGCTTTATCATCATACTGCTATTCCTTCGCCTGTCAGAGACCTGTGAGTCTCTGGGAACTCATTTATAGTACTGCTTCTGTGGCCTCTCCTGAACTCATGTATAGTACTTGCTCCTGTAGCTTCTCTCATACGTGTGTTATTCTTTGTGTGAAGTAGCTCCTCTTTTATTCCAATCATTCCAGAAAGTTCAGCCTTTCGGGTGGGATGGAGAGGAGGGAGAACACCTTTTATTTTACTCTGCTGGTTTACCATTCACTTTATTTGTATTTTTCTTCTCAGAAAACCAAAAGGGATGTAAATAACTTTGATCAAGACTTTACACGAGAAGAACCAGTATTAACGCTAGTGGATGAGACAATTATAAAACAAATCAATCAAGAAGAATTTAAAGGGTTCTCTTATTTTGGAGAAGAGCTACTGCCATAGGCAACGTTAGGCTGACAGATGGATGATGCTGCAAGAAGTGATTCTGAAGAGATCGTCAAATTACTGAGACTCAGTAGATCAAGAACTACTTCTATTACCCTGAGCCCGTATCCCCAATTAAAGTATATATTTATTGTTTTTTCCCTTTAACGTTCTGACCTGAAAGCACTCTTAATTTCTGTCTCACAAAGCAATGCAAAATAATTTTGTATCAGAAATTGTAGATGTAACACACTGCCATATATTTGCAACTTTTCTTTTATTCCTAAGATCTCCCCAGAGGAAAAAATTGCATCTTTTCCATGGAAAATGAAGCTGTGCTATTAAAAGCAATTTAGCAGATCACATTCTGTAATCGTCATATGTATTTAAGCTAAGAAAGTGAGAACTGTTTCTTCTGCACTGGTGGTTATGGTAAGATCTGTACTCAGATGTGGAACAAGTAAGTAATATGTTGCCCTTTGGTAAGCAAAGAAGTCTGCCTTCATGGAGGTGTAATCCTCAATTATGAATTTATTGTGGTGAGATACAAACTTAAAATAAACCTGTCCAGAAAAAGAAGCACATCAAATAAGGCTTTCAGTGAAGTTCCTCATACAGTTTATGGAAAACTCTTAGGAATAAGAAGAGTCACAAAGATAACTGAAATTTTATTTAAAGCAAGAAATAGATACTATATGGATAGTTATTAAAGGGCTAAAGAATAAAAAGCCTATACTATTTAACAGAGCTATATATAGGCATTTTACAGTTTTTCAGGCAATTGGGTGTACTATCCATGTTACCAAATCTAATATCCATTTAAATGAACCATTAATGTGATGGCAAGCTTGCAAATGTTTACAGTTAATTTTACAAAAAAAATTAATTATAAACATTATAAATTTGCCTTTTCCATTGTAGCCAAGTTGATGAATAATTTCTTATTTATATTTATTTTCTCAGTAGTGTGTTACTTTTGCACACTTTTACAAAACCATAATACTACTGTGTTTGTTGTTTTTTATGTTTAAAATCTAAAGAGAAATCTGCTTTTAGAAGACACAAAATAAGGCTACACATGCATTATGTAGAAGTGTGTTAAAAAACTGAAGATCAAACATTCACAAACTGACATTATTGAAAGTTGTAAATTGAATTTTTTTTGTGTATGAATTGAAATGGTAACTCATGTGGACAATATTACTAATGTGAAGTTACCTCCTGTAGATACGCTAACAGTGTTATGTACTTATATTTCTGGGAGTACCCTGTGGTTTGTTTTTTTGGGGGGGGTTGTGTACATGTATCGCTGAGGTCATTTTATTATATATTTTACTGGACTGAGTGAGCGGTCATTGGAGTCCATTTTAATTGTTGCACATGGATTTCCAGCTGCACAAAAATATATATACTTGTGATTGGCAAAGTGGCACTAAAGAAGCTTTTTTGCCTTTTGTACAGGTGAGATTTTGTATATAGTGTTTGCTGCAAGGCCTGTGGAATTCATTGAATATAGAGGTATCAACTGCTGCATGTTCAGGCATACTATTAAAATGTTAGTCTATGAAAGAATAATTATAATAATGTCCATGTGCAATACTCTTGTATGTGTATTGGTTCAATTTACTGTCAGAGAGATGAGGTTTTTGTTATAAAAGATGTAGACATATATTAAGCTATACTAAATCTCTTGTATAGTTCTCTTCAACTCTATTATGACATGATAGAGCTTGAAAAGAGAAAGGAATGTTGCAAATCATGGTGGACAAAGTGTGAATCATTGGCTTTAAGAGATAATCTCGGTCACAAGCAGATGAGTTAGTTTGTGTCAGTTTTACATCTGGCTGCTCATAGCCTGTTACTGATGACAACATTCAGTTCCATTTTGTTTTGTTTTTAAAACTCAGGTGTAATTATTATATATATTCTTATGATGATTTCAAAATATTAAATATTATGATATATCAATAAATGTGTTGTCTGGCCTACAGGTGTAATAATGGATCAAGCCTTTAGTTTAATTTAATTTATCTTCAGTAATCTTTTGTACTGGGAAAAGACTAGCTTCTGGAGCTGAGTACCAGCACAGAAACATCTTAATGATTGCATCATCTCAATGTTTAAATTTCTTTCTCTTTTAGAAATATATTGTAGAACTGCCCATCAATTTGTGTCTCACCACTGGCTCTGTTTATTTCTCATCACAGTTAGCTTTTGACATCCAGGCAAGAATTGATCACAATGCTAAAGCGTTCTTTTCCATAGGTGAGTAGACTGGTGAGGAAGTCAAGTTATTGGATAGTGCACTAGTGTTTGTACAACAAGAGGCCTTTACACAAAACTCTGAGCATTTATTTTGAAGGAATAAAAGTGTCCCATAAAGCTGTTGTAAGCAAGGTATATAGTCTGTATTGCCATTTCTAAGGTGAATATAATTAGCAAACATTTGTATTTCAAGAGGCCTCAGCACCTGCAATGTTTGGTAGGATGCTAAGAGAAAAGTGAAGAAGATAAAAACTTTTGCATGGGCAGATATTTCTTCAATATAAATAGTTAGATCCTCTGCATTGGGTTTACATCAGAAGGTTTGTCTGTTACCTTGAACATTTTTTAAAGATAATTCTTAAAAATGGACATTCTGTTACATTTCTGCCTGTTCTGTAAAATCTTCCCTGTTCCTTCTTTGTAAAATGAGTGCAAAATGCCAAAAAGATTATTAATAATAATTATTATTATAAAGAATCCATTGTTTCTTGGTATTTCTCCCAAATAGACTTTATTAAAAAATGGAAACACGTTTTTCTCCATAGCGTGAAAAATACTTCTCTCCAAAAAAGGCTTACAAATTACCTCTTTTTAAATTATGTGCAGAATAGTTCTGGCTAAATATAAAATGTATTCAGTTGGGGGGGTAGGGTTTTTTTTATTGTGAGGATTTGTTTGTACAGAATTTTTTTCTTATGGGTGTAATTTGAATCTTTTGCCATTCATTAGTGTTATTTCATCGTAAACATTATTACTGTGCCAAATGTACTGTATTCAAAAGGATGTGAATGTGTATTGTTTCGGAACCTAATAAATACAGTGATGTTAAATCTTATTTTTTTCCCCAAAGTTTTCCTGAGTATTTCCTAAGAGGAAGAAAGAAAGATGAAGGATGAATATTTTTACTGTTACATGTTGTACAAAATACCATGAGCTTGTCTTTTAGGAGTGGACATTTTGCAAAGGAAGGATTTGTTAACAAGAACCTCATCTGTGAAGCAATTAACACTCCAAGAGAAACACAGGTAACCGGGTGTGAACACTATTTATCTTGAGCAATATAACATTTACGTCAAAAACACCAAGCAAGTGAGTTTACAGACTTTTTCTGCTTACCAGCTACATAATGGTCACTTAGTTCTGATTGATCCCACCATTCTGCTTGGCTGCATTGTTAAAACTCAGTTCAGTAGGGCACTTTGTGTACAAACACATGAGACTGCTTTAGTCTTTAATTGGATTGATTAGAGGGATTAATAGTATGCAAAAGTTTAATTAATTAGGGTCATAGACCTTATTAAATGTTTTAACTTAATCTGTCAATGTGACATTGTCTGAAATATTTCAATATTTCATTGTGTTTCAATTTGCACCTTAAATACTTTCCATTTTCATGGTCTAAAGTTCTTAATTTCTGTTTCAGTAGATCAGCTACTGGCATATTCTAGCAGTAATTCCAGTTAAAAATCTCCAGTTAGTATACCTAGCTAATAGATATACTAACTAGCTTAAAAAATAAATAAATAAATAAATTGAAGAGTGTTTTCTGTTCAAATTACAGTTTTTGCATAAACCTCCATTTTCTTCCTTCATGCTGAATCTTCTCAAAGTCACTGAACATGTTTGGTACCTATGAGCATATTCCAAATCTTGTATGTTGACAGCATTAGCATAAGCTTTGTCACACACATTTTACCAGTTGAACAACTATGTAACATCATGATTTTCTGGGTATGTTTTGTGACCTTAAAAGCATAGGAAGAACTTAACTGTCATCTTACAAACAATAAGGATCACTGGTATCCAAACACATCAATCCATATCATGTTTTCTTGTAATGCTGTAACTGATGTCTGTTAAGAAGAGATTTATCCTTGCTGATGGACTGCAAAATTTGGAAGGACAGCAGTCTTTTGATGAGGAATGAGTCACAGTCTGATTGACTGCCCGTGCTGTAAATGTGGTACTAAAAGTTCAGGGAGAGAGTGTCAGCATGTAACTGTCTGCTTCTGTGGCCTTGCACATAGGGGCTGTTAGATCACTTTACAGTCAAAAATGTTTTTAGCCTCCTAGTAGTCTGGTCACATATATGAGTAAATCATTATGATAAGCACCTAAACAAACTGATCAAAATCAGAATAATTATCCAATAGTGAATCGAAGTGTTGAATAGGTTGACATATCCTAACTCGAAGAAGCTACAGAAATTCAATTTGGGTCTTCATCTATACTGTTTGAGCAAAGCTGTTTTTTAATTAAAAACACGTGGGGTGAACATGACTCATCCCAGGCATGAGGAGAAGACGAGAATGAATTAGATCAGAGTGGACCTCTTTTAGGAACAAGAAACTTTTCATCTGAGTAACTTAATTCATATAATCAAAAAAAGGTGTGAGCAGCCATACTGGATCAAACCAAACACCACTCAGGTCAGGTATCCTGCTCTTGGCAATGGTCAGTAGCTTAAGCAGTAGTGTACACTGATTAGAAATCAAGAAGTGAGCTTTGATTGTAGCTATAGCAGTATAAAAGTATATCAAATAGAAAATACCTGTGGAAAAATCTGAGAACGAGAAAGCATGAGATGGTATTCTACCTGCAGCAGTTTGACTCTATGATGTTGTAAAGTAGATGGTCGTGTCTTTATTATATTTAATATCTCTGAATCAACTTCCTTTTGATTAATCAGTTTTTGAACAATGTCAGCTTCTGGCATGCAAAACATTCTGTGGGAAAGAGCTACACAGCTCAACTAATCTTTATGTTAAAAATTACCTCCTTCTGTTTATTCTGACCCAGTCATAATTCCATTTTATGCTGCCTGGGTCTTTCTTTGAAAGAGAATAAATAATCATTTGCTATTCATCTTTTTCATGCCAGTCAGAATTTTGTAGGTCACTGATACATCCTTCCTCAGCCAGTTCTTTTTCAGACTGAAGAGTCTTCACCTGTCTGTAAAAAGGCTTCATAAAGACACATCCCATATTTTTGGTCATCTGTGCCAACTTTCTCTGAATCTTTTCTAGTTCTACTGTAT